ATGTGGACAACAAATCAAAGTTGGATTGATATTTGATGGAGGATGTTGAATTTGTTAGCGCCAATTTTGATATTTTGAATTGGTGGAAGGTTAATTCTTCTAAATTCCCGATCCTTGCCAAAATAGCTCGTGATGTGTTAGCTATTCCCATTTCTAAAGTGGTGTCAGAATCGACTTTTAGCACTAGGGGTCATATTTTAGATCCTTTTCGGAGTTGCCTGACACCCAAAACAGTTGAGGGTCTCATATGTGCACAAAATTGGCTTCAATCGTCATCCATTGCTTATGACTTTGAAGATATTTTGGAGGATTCAGAAAGCTATAAACTAGATTCAGGTTTTTATACTTTTATTGTTATTTTTTTATTATTTGTTGATGAGTTCTTCGTATCTAATTTTTTTTCATACTCTTTTTTATCTCAGAAATAACTATAGAGACAATTTCAATTTCTCTCGAGTGAAGAGAGGTGAATGACACTAGCGAAAAAGGTGCTATTTAACTTTTTATATTTTTTTTAGTAATTATAAAGGTATTTGTTATTGTTGTGGATGTTTGAGTTGCTAAAATATTGATTTATTTTTTGTGTAGGTTACATGATTTGTAGTGAACTGGTGAGCTGCCACAGGCGAAGTAGTTATGATTTCAATGTATTTGTGTTTGTGTAACAATTATGGTGGTTTGTATTTGTGTAACAGTTATGGTAGATTGAATTTGTAACAATTATGGTGGATTGATGGCTAAAACAATTATAATTGTTGTTGTAATTGTTTTAGATTTTAGCGTTATTGATTTATTGTGTTGTTAAATTGGTGTGTGTTATTTAATTAAATTGGAATAAAAAATTAATAGCTACAAAAGTGTTTACTCGACTTCCTACCCAATTAATCAAGTAGGAAGTTGGGTAGGAATACTATACCTGATCGGGTAGGGCAGTATAAGAAAAAATTTTTCCGCAAAGTATAGGATAGGAAGACGAAAGATTATATTTTCTATCCATAGGGTAGGGTGAACACCCCTAATCTTTATTGTTTAAGATGGACTATTTTCTTATTACTTGCACTATTCTATGCCCTCTCATGATAGGCGTGAATGTTTTGATGAGCATACTTTCCTAAAGGGTGCTATAAGATGGTGCCGCAACCCAATTAAGTACAAATTATGCAAGATTATTAGACAAACTTAGGTTCACTATGAGCATAAAAGAACTAATGGAGACTAAACAATTAGAGATAATGACCTTCAAAAAACTGCTATCACTTAAGCTTTAGAAAAGGCAACAAACCAACCCCCCCTCTTCCTTTCATGGAAGAAAAAACTATCAATGAAGTGTCAACTCATTTATTGCTATATTTTCCTCATACAAGATTATGGCCTTCTCATTTTTCTCATGGATACAAGTACAACCCATGAAACAAAGTGGAGAAATCTCCCAAATTGTTGTTGGTATATCATGAAACCCTTTAATTCCTTGGTGATGCTTTTAGAATGTTCTCTTGATGTTTGGAGGAATACCTCATGGTATGTGACATGTATAGTGCGTCATACTTGAATATCGAGCTTTGAAAATTACTTAGCATGCAAGATACCTTTTTTTTTTGGTGTGAGATGTTTAAATTTTGCGCCTTCTGTGCAGGGACGAGGAAGTTATGAAGATCATACTGAAATGCTTCGTCTTTTTGTAGAGCTTGTGGAGGCAAGCATCTATGCTGATAATCCTGATTGGAGGTTGAGATGATTTCTAATCCATTTTGGATTGACCGTAATAAATTATTTATTTTTTGACAATCCAAATTATTAATCCGACCACTTTTTCAATCTAACCTCTTTTTTGGTTTCCCTTTTTGGTTTCATAAAATTATTTTTCGTGATTTTGATTTTGCTTTTGCTTTTGGCCCCTTAGTGTTGATGAATAGGTGGCGAAGGATATACAATTGATAGATTCTATTGCTGAACGACAAGCTCAGATTTTCTCTAAAGAGTGCAAGTTGTTCCCCGTAGATGTGCAGATTCAGTCTATATATCCGTTGTAAGTTTATTTTGCTGGCTCGATTTCCCTCATGGATTCATCTTTCTGATAAATTGAGAAAGGACTTGTTGTACTAATGATTTCACTGTGATCCTGAATGAGGGCATGATATAATCCTGCTGGCATACTATTTGTTATGCATGGTAGTGGCCGATAAGTGATCTGCTAAGATTGTCCTCAGATTGAAAATGTAGGAACTTTTTTTTTCAGTCTAATCTGGGAGGGGCAAGTTTGAGAAGGGATAGGGTTTGTAAAGTTTGTTCTAGGATGATGTTTAGGGTTTTATAAATACTTAAGAAGTTGGAATGTCTATCTCGCACAAATACTGGCACATGCACACGCGTATAGAGAGAGAGAGAGAGAAGAACATTATTTTGGATTACACCAAGAGTAAGACAGATGACTGAATCTATCAGTTACATGACAACCGTAAGTGTTACACCCCATCCCGATAGACCTATTTGGTATCCCAAAGATAGAAGTATAACTTGAGACGTGGTACCTGTGCCTGTAATATAAGGAATCATTTAAAACTAATAATACCAACCAATAATCTCATAAAAGAGATAAACCATTCAACTCTATGATAGAGTACACAACTCTGTAACTCAATACAACATAAAGAATTAGGGAATTCATCCCTAACATCAACAACGAAACGAATACTCCTATACAATATGTACACAACCAGTTTCCTTAACATCCTATTTTGACTCTACTATTGCTATAATGGACCTAACTCTAAACTTCAGCTTTTTGAAAACAAATATTTTTTTGAGTGTACTGCACATCATAATAAATAGAAATATTAAAAATATGGATCAAATATCATATCAGTAAAATTTGTTCACAATCTGAGGAGAACGACAAAAATCAAAGTGTTTTCAACTTATTTTGAAATCTCATAATCACTGCCAATATAATGACATAATAAATAGTCCACATGTGCTATGAGTCAACAACATTTAAACAATGTCAAGCTGTTAACAACATTTAAGTAATGTCAAGCTGTCTTATGACAACTGCACAGTATCCAAATCAACATGTAAGTCATGTCAAACTATCAACAACTCTAGGATAGTGGATACTACTCAAATCACAAGCTTTTCAACAAAACATATTTGATCCATTATTTGCTCAACTCAGCATAAATCAAGTCATTAAAACTTCATTTCACATAATGAAATAACTCATAGTAGTCATATACTTTTATTTTCAATTATTATGAATCATTACAGTTCACCTGTCACCGCCCACCAACACACTACTCAGCTTTATGCTTGATCCCTAGGTGTAACTAATGTAATAGCCTTCGACCCTAACAATTTGCATATGCACAAATACGAATAAGTATCAACTCAAAAATAACTCAATTTATGAAAAATAAATGCATATGAATATGCTTCCTGACGTTTCATATTCACCACAACCATACTTCAGTATCCAAGTTTGGAGATTTACTAACCACTCAAGAGTTTATGGACTTAATAAGTACCCTCTACAACCTTAAACTAGAATGTAAACCCTTTTTGCCATTTAATCTATATGCACTTACAATTAGTTTAAAAGGATTCCGCATTCTCATTTTATACGGTCAAAACCATCGTTTCGGACCACTGTGCATTATCACAATCAACACCCTAATTCGGATCCGTGATTTCCAGCCCAAATTCAAAAAAACAATCATAAGTTTTAAAATATGCTAAACATTCATAAATAATGTAAGACATGATTCCAAAATAAATTTGAAAAGTTTCAACTGATCCGGAATTTGAGAAACTCAATCTTGTGCTGTTTTTTGATCCGAAACAGCAAAAAATAAAACGATATTATTTTTCAAATAAAATTTCATACACATGCTCAATTAACCTACCTAAGAATGAATATAAAATTTATTTTCTAAAAATCACCAAAAACTAGGTCGAATTGACCCCGGAGGCCAAAATAGTCATTTAATCCTCATTTTGATCCAGCCGTCGGATCGACTTAAAATTTTACCCAGGCCCTCCGCACGGACGGTACAGAACTTTTGGCACCAACCAGAGGTCGATCAGACACTAGGCGCGCCATCACGTGCCGTCGAGGTGTCCAAGGGTCTCTTGTCCAACTTCATCTTCTTCCTCTAGCTTCTGACCAAGTCTGATTTTTCATATTTTTGGTCAATTTTGAGCACCTTTTTCTCTCTCATTTCTTCACATTTTTACATGATTAAAAATCCTAAATTATACTTCTCCACACCTATTTTGACACACAAGTATTGGATTGCATCAAAACTCCTTCCAGTTTTCAAAAAGGGAGTCAAAGTAGGCTCAAGAGTCATAAAAACAGGCTAACTCTAACATTTTTTTTTCTTCAATGGCTATTTGTTGCCTTAGAGCATTCATAATCTAGAAAAGGAGAAGATGAATATCCAGTGAATGAGGAAGCCTAAAAGCTTAAACTGACATTTTGCAATTAGCCATTGCCATGGATCCCTCCAGATAAGCAATTGAAAGGAGAAGATGAATATCCAGCGATTTGAAGAAGATTGCAGGGGATTCCAGTAGTCAGAGGGTTCTGATCCATCAAACTCTAAAGCCTGGGCTTGAGAACAGAGTTGCAGACCAAAGCTTCCCCTTCTTGAAGCCATGAAGAAGATAGACGTGCAGCGAGAGAGATGCCAACAATCATGAGTTGCTGAAAGATCAGCACTTACGAACAATATAGCAATCCACCAACAGACCAACCATATCAAGGAAACAAAGCAGTAAAATTGAGATAGAAGATCCTCCTTCAAATGACAACGGTATCTGTACAATCCCCCACCTTGAATGCCTATGATCCATAGCTTAATCCTGCATATTCTTCTTTATTTGAGTCGTTATGTCACTCCACCTGCAAGCTCTAAAATATGATCTGTCTTTATGAGTCTTTGCCTTAAATTTTTAATTTTCCTTCTATCCTGCAACATCAGAAGTCTAGTAGTAGTAGGAACAGTATCTGGAGACGAATAAGTTGAAGAGACTTTAGTCAGAGCACCCTGATTAGCCAATGAGTCTGCCACCATGTTACCTTCACGATAAGAATGCTTAATTTGATAGTCCAAACCATAAAGAATAGAACGAATTTGGTGAAAGACATTCCAAAATTTCCAAGAAGTCTGACTGTTGTTCTTGACCATATCCACCAGTATTTTAGAATCAGATTCAATGAGGAATGAATAATCCAACAATCCAAAATCTCTTATCAATTGTAACCTATCCAATAAAGCCCTCATTTCTACCTCCATATTAGAATAATGACCATAAAAATAAGACCCTGCCAGAACAAATTGCCCAGTAGAATTCCGTAGAATGGCCCCTCCTCCTGACATACCTGGATTCCTTTTTGAAGCTCCATCTATGTTCAATTTCATCATTCCCTCATGTGGGAACCTCCAAGCTATCCATTTAACTTGCTTTAAAATTGTATTAGACCTTCTCACATTAATGGCATCTAATAAAACCAAATCTTTCTCTGAATCCAACACCTTAGGATTGATATTGTGTACCTGTAGTTTCCAGAAGTGTATAACGTACTTCAACAGAGAAGAAGAATGAGTATTCTGATTTTCAAAAAGCCTCCTATACCTTTCCCTCCATAGCTGCCAATAAACCAGTAGAGGTAAACCTCTTAACAAATAGTGAGCCATAGAAGATTTCTTGTAAATCCTAATTAACCTCATAAACCCTATAAGGGGCCCTTCCTGAGAAATAAGCTGAATACCCAAAAGCTCAGATAATGTACCCCAAATCGAAGATGCATATTGACAGTTAATGAAGATATGAGCTGCCGATTCACAATCCTTAAAGCAAAAAACACATTTACTAGCCAAACAACCCCCTTAGACTGAAATACAGAGTCCATAGGTAAAGCTTTCCTCAATATCTTCCAACCAATAAGCTGTGCACTAGGAGGTGTAGCCTGTTTCCATATATTAGAAGCCTGAACATTTTGTTGACCTATACTTTGTATTAGGTTCCATGCTGATTTAATGGTGAAATTCCCCCTTGTAGTATGTTGCCAAATAAGCTGATCCGCCCTCTCTGACAATTCAATTTGCAAAGCAATCACATCCTATATAAGCTGTTCATCCATATGTTGTCTCACTCTATTAAAATCCCATCTGCCTTGAACAAGCACCTGTGAAAGATAGGGAAAATTCAAAGGAGCAGAAGAGGCTCTATGAATTAGTGGCCCCAATTGTGACCAGTTATCACACCAGAAATCTACTTCATCCCCTCTACTTACCAACTTCAACGAATTATTAACAACCTCCTCAAACGATGGATATAACATTCTATAAGCTTTAGAATAACTATGTCGTGGACTCCTCAACAAATGGCCCTTATTACAATACTTATCCACAAAGAATTTAGCCCACAGAGATCTCCCATTAAGCAAACCCCATACCTGCTTCATTCTAAATGCTTGCTGAACCTCTTCAAACTTACGAAATCCCAAACCTCCTTCCTCCTTGGGCATGGTAATATTCTTTCATGAACACTAGTGTCTCTTCCTGGTATTTGCTTTTCCAGACCACAGGAAAGAGGTCATGATTGAATTCATTCTTGAAATAATTCCCTTGGGCAGGTTTAACGAACTTAACAAATGTATTAGCATGGAATTTAAAACTGACTGTATCAAGACTATCCTCCCCATATTCGATAGGAGTTTAGTATACCAACCCTGTAGCCTAGCTTGAAACTTATAGAGTAAATCCTCAAAATAGATAAGTTTAGCTCTTCTTTTAATAATTGGACATCCTAAATAGGACAGAGGACACTTTTTAAGAGGAATGTTTGCCACCCGTGAGAGCATAGTCTGCCGAACATGTGGAATCTTAGCTGAGCAATATAATGAACTCTTCAATTTATTCACTTTCTATCCAGACGCCTCTTCATACCTTGCAACAAACTTCAACAAATTCATCATTGATTGTTTATTCCATTTTAGAAAGATAAGTGTATCATCTGCAAAAAGCAAGTGACTGAGAAATCTTGTCCCTCTTCCTGTGTGAAAGTGTTTAATAAGCCCTTTATGAAAGATCTCCGCCATACCCCTGCTTAGTACCTCCTCTGCCAGAATAAACAGACTAGGAGATAACGGGTCTCCTTGTCTTCTGGAAAAAACCATGCCTAACCCCATTGATAGTCAAAGAAACAAACTGATTATGAAGACAGTTACTGATGACATTCTGGAATGCAGTAGAGAAACCAAAACTATTCAAAGTTTTCAATAAAAAAATCCAACTCTAACTTGTCAAATGCTTTCATCATATCCAATTTAACAATAATATTACCTGCCTCCACCTTCCTATCCAATTCATTCACCATAAATTGAGCCATGGCAATGCTGTCCCCAATATTCCTTCCTTTGAAAAATCCTTGCTGCTCTTCTAAAATAAGTTTAGAAAGAATTTCCCCAAGTCTAGTAGCTAGGATCTTAGTGAATACCTTATACACAAAATTACATAAACTTATCAGTCGAAATTCATCACAAGAAACAAGATTTTCCTTCTTTGGTATAAGGGATAACAATGTAGCATTCACTGATCTGGGAATAACTCCCCTTTGAATGAAAAAATTTGCAGCAGATAATAAATCCATCTTAATTACCTCCCATGTAGTCTTAAAAAATTGACCCGTAAAGCCATCCAGTCCTAGAGCGCTATGAATGGACATCGCAAAAACAGTCTCCTTAAGCTTCTCCAACGTAACATTTGACATTAAAGAAGCATTGTCTTCGTCAGTCACTATCCTGGGGATAATGTTAAACAGCTCCTTCTCCATAACATGTGTTTCAGTAGAATATAGAGCTGATTAGTAACTCATCGCACAGTCCGCAATTGCTTGATCATCCTCCAGCCAAATATGATTTGAATATTTAATTCTAGAAACTCTATTCCTCGTTGTTTTACCTTTAGCCATAGTATGATAGAATTTAGTATTCCGTTCTCCCTCCATCGCCCATTTCACATTAGCTCTCTGCTTCCAAAATATCTCCTTTATTCTCAAAGCTTGTTCCAGTTCTTGCCTCACTTCTAGCAAAGCCATATAATTTGCCTCTGTATCCGACCTTTCCACCTGCAATTCAGCCTGGACCAGACTACTCTCCAACCGCTTTATATTCTCAAAAACATTACCAAAAGTATCCTTATTCCATCTTCTTAACTGAAACTTCAAAGTTCTAAGTTTGAAAAAGAGGTTCTCAATAGGGTTAGACGAATAATTTGTAGGTCAATAAAACTCTACTAACTTCATAAATCCAGGATGTTCAATCCACATGTTTTGAAATTTGAAATAAGAAATCCTTGCTTGAGAGTCTATCTCCGAAAATTTGGTAATTAAAGGGCAATGGTCAGACTTCACTATTCCAGCATGTTCAACCACAATACTTACAAATCTACTCCTCCATTCCACACTCACCAAAGCCCTATCCAATCTCTGCCACATTCGTGATCTACCTTGATGGTTATTACACCATGTAAAAGTAGATCCTACATACCCACAATCTTGCAAACCCATAGGGCTTATAAAATCAATAAAATCACTCATAATTGACAAACTTGGAACACCACCTTTCCTTTCTGTTGAAGAGACGATTGTATTAAAGTCACCAACCACCATCCAAGGAGCATTAGAAACTGGTAGTCCAGACAAATGAGCCCATAATTCTCTTCTTTGTATATGCTCACATTTAGCATAGACAAAGGAGAAAAGAAAAGGCACTGAACCCATGTATGATACCTCCACCGTTAAAACCTGTTCATGAGCATATTTTAATGAAACCTTCACTCTATGATCCCAAATCACCCATATGTATTTTTCAGCTAATGGGTTAGCTAAATATGATGAAAACCCCAGATTATTACATAAGCCATGCATTTTAGAAGGAAGTAACTTTGGCTCTAAAAGACAGACTAAAGAAATGTCATGCATCTTCACTAACTTCTTGAGCCTCATGCTAGAAGCCTCTTGATGTGCCCCCCTCACATTCCATGTAATCATATTAATTATTAAAAAGTTTTAGATTGGGAAATCTTGCTAGACCTTGATCTAGTAACCATACCTACTCCAGAAAGCTCTTGCCTTTGCTCCGTATCTGATTCCAATTCTTGAGTATCACTAACCAGTCCTTCGTCACCCCTACTAGTAAGCTCATCTTCTGAATAAAATCCCCTATCTGGTGGCTCCGTTGTACGATGTAGTCCACATTCATCATCCATAACAATCAATGTACCCTCTTGACAGGCGTATTGGTGTTCCACCAAAAATGTAGAATCCAAAGAGGGATGCTGACAATTAGGCATCTCTCTCGAGGTGGGATGCTGCACAGCTTTGCTTGGGAATGGTAAATTTACAATTAAAGAGGGAAATGGATCCAGTTCTGCATACTTATTGACAAGCAATGGGGTCATCTAAAATTATCGGTACCGGAACATCACCATTCTGTTGGACCTGATCGTCTGTAGAGGCCTTGGGCAAATCACAACCATTTTGCTCTACATGTTCTTCAATCTCAACAACCAAGTTTGTATTTGGAAACGAAGGATTCTCAAAATCTTGAATTGGAACACTTTCCTTATGAGGATTTCCCTTTCCATTATCATTTGAATTCACTGTACCAGAATGCTCCCCATTTTCCAGGATCAAAATTGAATTTTCCTTTTCAATATTCCCTCTTTCCAAGACTGGTTCTGCTTCTTTCCCGAATACAGCTACTGTTTCCTTACTTGGGTTATTATCCTTCTTCGGCTTCTGCTGCTGCTTCTTCCAGACTCCCTTTATTTGTTTATGAAAATTTACATGTCTTGACTGCAATTGTGCTTTCCCACTGCCTTGTCTTTCCTTAAATCCGTTGCCCATAATAAGATTTTGCGTTTCCTTCGAATCTGCAATTAGGACCTGCTTTCCTTTTTTCTTAGCCATAGTTTCCTTTTCGTCTCCTAGTAATTTTGGGAATGAATTCTTTCCATCTGGGATCATCATCTTCTCTGCTGGCTTTTTCTTCCTGCATTAAAGTTCATCATGGCCTTGATTCCTGCAGCTTTTACATAATTTCTTGTTTCTTTCGTAAACTATCTGCTGCTATCTTGCATCCTCAACCCCCATATCAATCCAGATTCTATTTGGATTATTTGCAAGAAGGTTTACCTCCACACATACCTTTGCTACCCCAGGCTTGGCTAAAGAGAGCGTCCCCTAATCATATGCCAAAACTTTGCCTATGGGTTTTACCAGCAATTCCAAAAACGGTTTCTTTAAGAAATTTAGAGGTAATCCAGGTAATGATATCCACATAGGCACAATGGATGGCTCAATCCCTGGTACAAACGCTGGAAACCATTTAAAAAATCTAAATAAGTAATCTTCAATTATAGTAGCATCTTTTAACCACGTCTTCACATAGTCTTCTTGCTTTTCAAAATGTATCAACACATGCCTTGGGTCTATTGAAACCATCTCAAACTCACCTTTTAATCCCCATTTAGATCTTATTACTTCTCGGATCACGCCCAAACTAGGTCTGCCATAGGCACACTTGCCTATCAACGTATATTGAAGGGATAAACATGATTGTTTAACCTCTTCATTGGTGAAGTAAAAGGCTGGTTCCCCCTCATAAAAAATGATAGGCTTTTCAATCTTGGGTAAAGGATCTTCCACAAAGACAGGTTTGGATGATTGTTTGAAGAGAGAAACATAGGTGGGCTGTGTTTGTGGTGGGTTAACAGCTTGTAAATCCAGTGGTTTTGATGGAATGTTGGAAGAACTTGGTACGTCACTCATAAATTTTGAAAATCCTAGAGAGAAGTCAGAGCTTCTCTCTCTAAACTCTAATTACTTGGTAAAGATACTACCTCGGCTGACTCTAACATGATTTTCAGCCAATGAACCAACTTTGGACGCCCATAAGTCCATCGTTTCTCAAGATTTTTCAGTGATTCAAGAGCCTAAATTGCTCTCTTACAAACCTAGTATTAAACCATATAAAACAAACTCCTCAAAGTTCCCTCAAACTCTACGAATTTGTGGTCAAAGTTAGCTCTAAAGTTGATTTTCAAAACAAGGCCAGACCTGCAACTGACCGTTTGACCCCCCCTAAACAATCTCTAAATCCAATTTCGAAGCCGAAAATGGATTCCTTGGGTCCAAATTAGCAAGACCCCAGTCCTATTCCAAAGCTTAATCAAGTTTATTAAAAATCAAAAATTTAAAATTCAAACCCATGAGGGTTTCTTCATCCCACCACCACACACCACGACAACCCCGTAAAACCACCTTTAATTTTCATAACAAACACCCATAAATCATTTACAAACAACAATTCAAGTTAAAATCAAACCAAACTTCAAACCCATTTATATATCAACTAAAACCCAAAAATTTTAAAATGAAAATTGATGCTCAAATAGGTTTTAAGCATCATTAATGGACTCATAGCATCCTAATTTGGCTAGAAACTTACCCCTTGATGCTCGAATAAGCCTCTCTCAAAATTTACTCCTCACACTTTCTCTTTCTCTCTCTAACTACTCTCTTCAGTTTCTCTCTCTTCCCACTGGTTCTACCTAATCCACACACTCAGCAGAGGCCTTTAGTAGCCTCTCAAACCTTCCAGACTGTTGCAGAGTGATGGGGAGCCTCCTGGTGTAGCCAGGCAACTTGGAAGGAAATGCCATGCAATGACATTTTCGTAAATATCTTAAATTCGATTTTTTATTAATTTAATTTAATTTTTTTTATAATTACATACATATTAAAATATGCATTATAAAAATATTTTCCTAATTTTTTATATTCCCGTATTATGCATGTATGCTCGGGTTTCACAACTCTCCCCTCCTAAATAAAATTTCACCCCCGAAATTTACTTATGTGATGAAAACAGATGAGGATATTACTCTTTCATAGCCTCCTCAATTTCTCAAGTAGCATCCTCAAGTGAGTGACTCCTCCACAAGACCTTTACTAACAGATTGGTCTTATTACGTAATACCTTCTTTTGATGAGTCAAAATTTGTACTCGCTCCTCAATGTAAGTCAAATTTTCTTTTAACTCTAAAGGTTGCTCAACCATTACATGAGACGGGTTGAGTATATACTTCTGGAGTATAGAAACATGAAATATGTTATGTAAACGAGACAACTCCAAACGTAAATATAATCGATAAGCTGTAGCTTCAACCCTTCCTAGAATCTTATAGGGTCCAATGTTTCTCAGACTAAATTTTTCCTTCTTTCCAAATCTCAACGCATATTTTTTGTGTCATATTCTCATAAATGTCTAACCCCTCATTGTAGATCTTCAAATGTCTAATTTGCTTATCAACATAAGTATCACCCATCACAAATTTTAAATGTTTCGATTGCTTATCAACATACCATTTCTATCTGCTTGAAATAATCATTAGTCTTACTGGAATCACTTCATCTTTTTCTATAGTTACATACATATTAAAACATGCACTATAAAATATTTTCCTAATTTTTTATATCCATGTACTATGCATGTATGCTCGGTTTTCGCAACAATCTTGCACACTAGTTAGTTCCATGCAAGAGGTGATCATAGTGGACTATTTTTGCTACTATGACACTTGAAAGACCTCTAATGCGTACATGTGCATTTGAAATCCTCTCTCATAAACTCTTGGAGTTCATCATATCTTTGTTGGACATGCAATAGTTGAGGATTGGAATTAAACACGCCTCTGTTGAATATGCAACCAGCAATAAAACCTGCTCATTCCTTTAAACCCTATATTTGTATATTAGATTCTCATCATATGTCCTCGTTTTAAGTGCCTATGTTGAACACCCTGTTATATATAAACACCAGTCTACCCTAGGAAAGGAAAGGAGGATGTTGGAAAGAATATTTAGGCTTGTCTTCTTGACATTCAATATAGGGATTACATATATCTGACAGACACACCCACATGAGGACAAAGGACAGAGTATCCTCAGGAGATAAATAGTTGCACATTTAGAGCAGAAATAAACACCCCTAGTAAATTCACTTGAGGAAGTAAGAACTAACAAAACTCCACTAATTATGCCTATAACTTACTGAAGGTTGTCAAATAGACTCAGGTAATCTCATAATTGTTGGGTTTTGTTTATAATGATATTTGCTCAATTTTTGGATAATACTTGGTGTATCTGAAACTGATATATGATATCCATAGAAATGGCATGTGTCATTTGCTTGTGCATTAGATGGAAGATATAGTCTGATCAATTTTATTTTTTTTGTGGTAGAGCTTTTGTTCGTATTCACATGCTAAAATTACTATTTGATTCTGAGTTTCTTTTCTCCGCTAGGTATAGTAACTTTCTGTTCCTTTAATCAAAGTTCACTTGCACGCCAGATATATCTGATTTGGAAAAACAGCTTTCTGATCAATCAAATAGAATTTTGAGTCTTCAAGAGATGGTTGATGATTTGGTTTGTCCCAACTCCTTAGCTGACACTGTTTGCCTTCTATAATGCAACATTACTTAGCATCGTGATCAGCTTCCTTCACCTAATTAGTTTTGTACAGTAAATTTATGATGTTAATATTGTGCCTGGTTGACATTCATTTTTGTGTTTTTGCCATCTAGCATTTGTATAATCCATATGAAGATTATGCGGAGGTGGAAACAAAACTGCGAGCACATCTAGAATCATTTTTAGAAACTTCAAGATCCTTCAATACGATTTACACCAAGGTTGTTTTCTGGTCTCACATTCACTTTATATTCTTGATATGCTGTCATCTCAAGTTTCTTCTGAGTCTGAACCAAGTCAATCAATGGATGCTGTTCTTTTAGAGGCTAAGTTCCAAAGTATTTTCAGTATATGATGAATTAAGAAACAATTCTATCTGGTGGGACTTCACATGGTTTCTTGATTATGATGTAGCTTTATCATTAGTTGAAAATGTTTAAGACAAAGGATCTATATGCTGATATGCAAGATCATGTGGATTTGTGTCTATTATGGTACTACTCTAATTGTTAAGAGGTTTTGCGCAGAAACTTCTTGTAATAGCCGTCTGTGTGTATTTTCAATGTGCTTATATGAATGTGATGACATGTACATACATGTATATGTTTTCATAATTCTGCTATTTGCAGGAAATTCATCCATGGACACACATGATGGAGGTACCTCAACTGCATGGGTTTGGGCCAGTTGCTAACAGATTGCTGGAGGCGTACAAGACGCTCTTGAAGGTATTGTTGAGGTCTCTTGGATGAAATTTGTATTGGATGTATTGAATTGCTTGATACTTATATCAAATTTTTTTGATTGCAAAGCGTCTTTCCATGCTTCTAATTTAGTTTTAATTCCTAATTTAGATTCCTCAATCAATACTATGCCATCAACAAAGGGCATACACTATGGAACTTCATTATGAATATGTTTTGTTGATTTGCTCATATCCAAAGGCAAAAATAAAGCGAATATGAGTAAGCAATACGACAAAATTTTGCTTTAAATTGAAAGACATAATTGCTCAGACCACCATAACGCAATTCAAACAAAGGTTTCCAAAAATTTCTGAGCGATGTCTTTGTTGCTTGGCTTCTGTTGGAAAATATTGTGGTCACCGGAGGTTGGCGCTATCCAATAGGACCAATACTGGCCTTAGATTTTGTACTTTTACCTAATGTACTTTATTTTTGAGAGTGTTTGGTGCTGAGGCATCCCTTTGTTCTCCTATCTGGCAGTTCCTTGGGAACCTAAAGAATCTTCGAGACTTGCATGCAGCAGTGGCTGTTGGGTTATCTGAAACAATTGTTGGTGAGCCTTCTTCTGTCACGAGAATAATCTCAGAGTGTGAAACTGCATTAACATTCTTGAATCATGATCTTGGAATCCTTTTGGCTTCTATTGCTCGTGAGCAAGGTGAGGAGATCAGTTTGTGAAAAAAATCTGTATTTTATATGGAATCTACCAAATAGTGCCTTTTCCTTCCTTGTGGAATTGAAACCACCATCTTCTATCTTCGAAAACAATGATTGGATTAAAATGAAGCATAGTTTATTTACTTGTTTCTTATTTCTCAAAAATCGAGTGCTGAATCTTGCTTTGATATTGGTAGTGAATATGTTGCCATGTGAGCTTTGGGTCTCAATTGATTTGGGAGTTTCTCTTTTCAGGAAACACCAAAATGTTAGTCCCTGCTTCCACAAGTTTTTTTTTAAGTACTTTCCATACTGCATACTTACCATTATGGTTGTGAATGTGCGAAGCCAACTTGATTAAGGTGCAAGCTTTAGAAGCAAGTATTGTAACCTTAAATGAACATGGCGTTGTCTAGGCTGAATGGAGGCTGAGGTCCTGCTCGATAAGCTTGGGAAGCCAAAGCCTAGCTTAGTACTAGATGAGTAGGAGAGATCTTATCTTAAGAACGTAGGTATTCTCTCTATATAGAGGTTATTTGACGATTCCCTTAAATAGCCGCATCTTTGGGTTGAAGCTATGGGTAATGTGAAAGTTTCATCCTATAATTGGTGGAGAGGTAGACCGATAATTTCTTGTCCAAAAAGAAAGGAAAATAAAAAAAAGAAAAGAAAAGAATAAATCAACTAAAATTGTAGGCTAAATATGATACGGCGTTGTGATAGTATCAATGATATGACCATGGATAATGTCAATGTATAAGTTTTGAATTGAAGATTTCTTTCTTTTGACTTTTCATATTATAGTGATAGACATGTGGAATGAGTTGAAATCTAGTGTTTAATAAAAATCATTACTTCTTTTTTTAAATATTGGTCATTAAGTTGTAATTTGAGTTTTAGATTTGTCATTTATTCAAGTAATTATCATGAGTTGCTGATAATACTTATGTGGAAAAAATATGTGTTGCTTTTTGTCATCATAAATGCATACATGCCATTGTGAATTGTGGTCAAAAGGTCATTAATTCAAGGATTTTTTATGTTAACCTTTCAAGCATATCTAGGATTTACTCTTCACCATATCATCTCGAGTTGGAGTAAATATTCATCAACAGTAATACCACGTCATTATGACGATCGAATAACAACAAATCATCTAAGTTAAAATGTAAAGTTGATATTAGGGTTTATTAGAGAAAGAACAAGGGAGGAAGAGAGAGAGGGGGGGGGAAGATTGAAAGAAACACAATATTACCCACACTAGTTTATGCTCAAAAATATAAATATAAAACATAAAAATAAGCTCTAACAATATACACATAATGTACATCATATCAACTATTAGTCATTATCCGTACTTGAAGACATTATATTAAAAAAAATTGCACTTGAAAGCAATGTATAAAAAAAAAAAAAAGTCACCACTTAATATAGACCCACTATTCAAAATAAAATGGGCAAAATATATTCTGACAACACGACCCTTAGATAATATCAATCTATGTACACAGTTTATATAATAATAATACGTACAAATCTTTATTTTAAAAAAATGGCTCACGTCACCATCCTTCGTAATGAAACCAAAGGAGCTGCAAGTGAGAGAGATGCAAGAGAGGGGGGAAGAAGAATTATAGAAGGCCAATAGATGGGAGAGAAGTGATAAAGACGGAGACATGAGAGAGTGGAAGACGTGAGAGGGCAGTAGACGTCACGTGAGAGTGGACAACACTTGGGGCAAAAAGTAAAGACGTGTGAGATATATTGGCCTAGAACTTAATTTTCGGCAATGATTTTTAGCCATTAGACTGATTTTTGGATTAATTAAAAAATTATCTAAACCGCGAAATACAAAAGTTATTTTTATATCTTTGGAAATTTGAAATGCCTTCTATTTTATTATATAGATATACCCTAGAAAATCTAGAACTAAGTTAATCCCAAGTAATCTTTTCTTACTATAAATGCTCATTCTAATCTTCATACAAGCCAACCTCATGCACACTTCCTGTCCCTCTCTCAAAGAACCATGGCAACCATGGTATCATTTCACTCATTTTTCTTCATATCTCTTGCAATATCCATCATATTTGTCTCTAGATTCTCCATCACAAAAGCTAACAATGGCGGTTTCACTGTAGATCTAATACACCGAGACTTGCCAAAATCTCCATTCCACAACCCTTCTCTAACTCCTTCACAACGCCTGAACAATGCTTTGCAACGTTCATTTCCCCGTGTCCATCGTCTCATGTCATTCTCTCCCCTATCAGCTTCAGCCAATGTAACCCCCAATGGTGGAGAATATATCATGAAGATATCATGGGGACCCCATCGGTTCAAATTCCTGCAATTGTCGATACTGGTAGTGACCTTATATGGACACAATGCTACAACTAGAAGCCTCATCTCTTCAGCCCAAACAGTTCTTCTTCATATAAAGTGGTACCTTGTGGTTCAAAACAATGCCTATCTTTTCCAAGAACTTCTTGCCTCCCAACTACGAATACTTGCCAGTACTCAGTCAGTTATGGAGACAAATCTTTCAATCGCAGTGATCTCGCCACTGAAACAGTAAAATTGGGTTCCACCACCCTCCGCGACATCATTTTTGGCTATGGACATGACAATGGCGGCACATTTAGCAATGCTGGAGCTGGCATAGTTGGCCTCGGAGGTGGTCAAGTTTCGCTTATCTCATAGATGGGATCTTCCATTGGAGGCAAATTTTCTTATTGCTTGGTGCCAATGTCTACACAAAACACCATGGCCGGCAAAATGAACTTTGGAGGTAGTGGTGTGGTTTCAGGGCATGGGGTGGTTTCAACTCCAATAATCTCAAAATTCCCATATGCTTTCTATTTCTTGACACTGGAAGGAATCAGTGTTGCAAACAAAAGGCTGGACTTTTACATGTCCTCAGCCTCATTAAAATGCTTCTAAGTTAGCTCAGGCCGGTAACATTGTCATTGACTCTGGTTCAACCCTGACCCTCTTTCCACCAGATCTCTACAGCCGGTTAGTGTTAGCCGTGAAAAACACTACAAGAAAAATGTTTTTAGCGGCAAAAAAGTCGTCGCTAAAAGTGAATAATTCACCGCTAAAAGTTTTTTGCTACAAAAAAACTTGATCACCAATTTGTAGCGGCAGGCTCGCCGCTTAAAGTTTTTAACGACCAACTAAAATATCGTTGCTAAAATAGATTATCAGTGACAAAAAACTTAATCGCTTAAAAATTTATCTACTTGTCACAAAAAAACCTTCGTCGTCGAAAAAAAATTATATTATGGTCATATTTTTTCTCTTTGGTGATGACATAATATTTGTCGTTGAAAATTAAGGTACATTTTTTGCGACTAACATATTTTTGACGCCAAATAACAAATGAACAAATTTTATAAACGGGTAACACGGTACGACTCGTTTAATTTTAAAAAAATTATATCAACAAATTTTAATTATATCAACAAATTATATCCACTTTTTTTTACTATCAACTGTATTTACCTAAAAAAAGAAGAATTTCTAGTCAAATCTCACATAAAAATCAAACTTTAAGGCTAAAAAAAAAAAAGGCAAGAGATCACTGCCTTTTAAAAGCTAGTCAATCCTCCCCATCTCACCTCATTTGACGATGTGGGACAAAAACAAAATATATTGGTTTGTCTTACACATCGTAAAATGTTTTTTTTTTGCGACAATTTTTCTTACACTTCGCAAAAAAGTTGTTGCCGTAAAATTTTTTCTTGTAGTGATATTTTGCGACCAAATATAAATTGTCGCCAAAAAAAAATAAATTTTAACTTTTTTTCTGTGACAAACATGTATTTTCATTAAGTATTATTGTTTTTATTTTCTTATTTTCGTTATTTGACAAAAATTAAGCAATTGAAGAATTATTTTGGTGATAATTTTTTTTTGTCGCCCATAAAATTAGCATTTAGCAATTTTTTTTGGAGGGAACATTTTTTGTGAAGATTATTGGCGACAACTACAAAAACTGGTCACAAAAAATATTATAAAAAATTTACTACGACAAACATTTGAAATTATTGTCGAAAATCACTTTTTTACAACAAATTTTATTGTTCGTCATCAAAACTCATCGCTGAAAAACAATTTGTTGTAGTGAAATACGATCAAGGCCAGACCAGTCAAGGATCCGAAATTGATGCTAAGTTTGTGCTACTCTAAGTTGAATTATACCTATTATTACTATGCATTTCAAGGGTGGAGACTTGAAGTTGAATCCATTGAACACCTTTGTTAGGACTAGCTTGTTTTCCATATGGGCCCAGCTGGAGAGATCGCCATTTATGGTAACCTAGCACTTCTATGTGGGCTATGACCTAAAGAAGAAGATGATTACCTTTAAGCCTATGGATTGCACCAAACAGTGATCAATATCAGACACAATTTTTTATCTTTGCAATTTTATATGCAGAGAATGTAGTGTGACTCTCTATCTCTCTCTTCATCTTAATTAATTATGTTTGTCAATATGTAATCTAATAGTGATTTCTGCACCTAAAAGGGGCATAAAATTTTAATATGCCATATATTTATCACTTTTCCAGCAATTTTTTGCCAATGGAAATGATCACGTGCCCAACCACAAGACATAAATTTGAATAATTGAAGATATAATGAACACAAATTCTATTTTCCTTTGACCACCCCAACCTGACCACCAAGTTTTCCTATTTAGCCACTATCCTGACCTACGATCCAATTGAAAGGGCACGAGATACTGCTAAGACTTGTGACCAAACACCATTTCCAACGGTAAAGAAGTTAAGCATCCCATTCAAACTATAGAGACCAAACCTCAGTTTCACCTCATGAAAACAGCAAACTTATGCAAGTTAGGTTTATGAAATCAAACGTCACATTCTCAAAAACAGTATCACCATTCTTCACCAAGTCAATCTGGAGATCTCCACAAAGTCCATTTGCTTATAATCCCTTTTGACATTCGACCAGTCTGTCTTTTTCTCAGCAACCTCATGAGCAAACACACCCAATTGAAAGACCCCCTTGCTGTTTTGCCAGTTTTTTGCGGAGTTTCACATAGTAACAAAACAATGGCTATGAACCATAATTGGATGTTATCCAAGGCTATCAATTTTACACAGAGATGTGAAAATTAATTGGAGATATTTCTTTTTGTTTCTAAATGCCTGTGTTTATTAATTGGATTGTGAGATGGGAAAAATAGTTCATGATTATTTATTGGAAATGGGATTTTGCTTGGATATGTATATTGGTAATGATTTGATTACAATGCACGTGAAGCTTAATGAGTTAGAGAGAGAGCACAATTTGTTTGAAGAAATGCCTCATAAAGATTTTGTTTCTTAGCATAGTTTGGTTTTTTGGTAAAGGTCAAATATTTATTGGGTGGAAGCATTGGAAATTTAGCATTTGTTAAGTGCCTCAGATTGTGAATACTGGATCCAAGATTAGAACCTGTTTCCAAATTCTATTTCCAAGCAAGAGAGAATGCATCCATGATTACATTTTAGTTTAGCAATTACAGCATGGAAATGGTATTTGACATGATCATCACAGGAAGGCGATGAGGGTGTCTAAAGGTGCTTTATTTTGCTTCATGGTTCACTTGTGAGGCTGGTTGAGACTTTGGAACCTATTTGACGTGCTAGGACTTGGACAATTCAATAGCAATTGTGGTTATTAGAATCCTAATCCTGATCTTATGATCCTACAGTTGGGTGTTCCAAAGATATCAAATCCATCTGCACTGGGCATATAAACCTGAAAAGTAAAATCCTGATGGAATTGGATTCGAACTGCTTGAATTGTTGGACTTGGATCCCAAGATGAATCCTGATTGTACTTGATGGCCTTACAATTATTACTCCCCTGGACCTTTTAATAGGTGTGGACACATGGTCCAAAATAAATTTGTAGAATCAAGACAGTGCACCACTTTAGGTAATCAGTAAGGAACTTTCCACAAATTCCATCTATCCAGAGAGTATCATGAGAGCCATGAAATTTTTCATATTAGCATCTGGTGCGTGGAATATTTCCAACTTTTGGTATTGCAGGTGAGATTTGTTCATGATTTGAGGTAGATTGTTGTAGGGAAGGACTTCCACCAGAAACTGAAGACTTTATGCAAAGCCACTAATCAAGTAAGCGTGACTAATTGATGAAGGGTAGGGATGAGAAAAAAAGCATGGCAGGTACTGGTTAGTTTCATTCATGCAGTAGTTGTTTCCTTTTCTGGAAAAGTTCTGCCTGACAACCAATATTGTGTCGTTGTGTCATTTGTCGTGTTACTGTTTTGCTGTTTGATATTTCTTTTTCTTCCTCATGTAGAGCTTTTAAAATTTATTTGGAGTAAAATAAAAGAGGTGGAATAAGGAATGGGGTGCAATAGATAAATTGTACTCTTCTCTGTCAATGTTTTGCAGGCAACAATTCTTTTGTTGCATAATCCAATAGGTAAAAATGAGAATTCTTTTGATCTTTGCATAGTGTAGCATTAAGGCAGTGATACATATTCATCTTACGGATAAATATAACAGATGCTCTCAACTATAGTTCTACAATTTTTTGCTGCATTCGTCTCTTTCATATTTGTCCTGTGAAAAGGTGAGATAGGGCTTGGTTTATGTTGTTACTATTGCAGTCTGTTTCCTGCTTTAGGAATGAAGCAAATTAATGGTACCTAACTATGTGTATGATCACATCCAAATTGCAGTATGATTTGTTATATTCAGCTTGCTTTGTTCTGAACCAAGGATCAAAATTTCGTTTTGAAACATTCGAAATATTTCCATTTTCAAGGAGATCAAAATGAATTAGTTATGGAATTGAAGTTCCAATGTTTCTCAGAATGTTTTTAGATGTTTCAGCATGTTTCCACCATTGTTTCGGAATGTTTTGAGATGTTTTGATCTATTTCAATCAATGTTTCAAAATATTTTGGATATAAATTCTCAATTTTTTTATTCGTTTTCATTATGTTATCGAAATGTTTTCATTTCCTAGGTGACTAAAACAATACACCAAGATGAAATTTTGATCTTGTTCAAAACATGCCTTATCAATGTATCTGGAGTCTATTAGGACTTTAACCATGAACAATGTTGATCCTTAAACTTGTCTTACCATACCAAACTGTTATGCTTTTCTATGTTGTATGTAATAACATTAAGTTTTTATTTTCGGAAAATGCAAATAAAATGGCACTAATGGAGTTAAAAAAATGCAAATAAACAGAATGTGCATTGTGCAATATGAATCATTTTGTTGCTAAATCACTCGGGGAAAATAGAGCCTGTGGTGTTCACTCAAACTTGTTGGATAATGAGATTATCAGTCGTGCCATTTATTCTTTGAAAACACCAAAGATAGGACCCTCTACTGCATAATTTCAAGTAAAGTCCTTCAAGGTAAGTGCACACACTGAAGCACATCATCTTTAGTGGGGAGGTTTATCATTGGATCTTTGTTCAAACAATTCTACGAGCCCTCTGCTAGGAATTAACTTCCATTCAATAGGCAATAACAAGAGAATGAGGAAACTAAGACTCAAAAACACAAACACCACAAGAACACAGATTTACGGGGAAACATAAGATCGGGGAAAAAAATACGGCACGATCCCTTGAAAGTCCTACTTCAAGGTTTTGAAATAGCTTGAGGAAGTGGATCATTTAGGTGCAGCCGCT